CACAGTGTCTCGTGTATCAGGATCCCCTCGCTTCAAAATGGTGGTGAGGGTGCTTGAATTAAAGCTTGTTCAATGAGCTTTAGTTCAAGTGCCTGCACCACCACTTTGAAGCACAGGGATGCTACTACATGAGACATGGGAGGCTGCTGAAGCATGGCAATTACCATGCTCCAGCAGACTTGATTAATCAAGACTGCTCCAATGCACTGTAATTACAGTTCACCAGAGTTGCCTCTGCACTTGTGTTCAGGTACCTCCTAACCTTGAGGTCAATGTTGCTCGCTGATCATTAAACACATTAGCAGATACCTCCTCCAAATAAACTATAAATCCCAAAAGGGACCCTTCCTGTTTAACAAATCAGATCAAGATGAATACCAATAGGTTAGAAGTGGTTGAAGCTGCTCATCAGTTTGCCTCCTAATAGAATGGGAGAGGTATGTTTGTAACCCCCTAGGTAGAATAGAAACAGCTCCTGATGAATAGGATCATCCTCTGGAGAGAGGCTTCTGGCTGAATGTTTCCAGAATGGATGAACTGTTCTTCTCTGTGGAACAGTGTAGGATCAGTCTCTGAGGGACCACCAGGCTGTCTCTTGAGAAAATGGTGCCTTAGAGAATACTATCACCTTTGCTGAGGAAGATACTTAAGTCTGAGACAGCTAAATTTAAATAGCCTTGGAGGCAAAAAAAAAGGCCTTAGCTTTAAGTGGATGAGTAGTTCTACTAATTTTAATGAGACATCTTTCATGCTTGAGTGCTTTCCTGGACTGAGGCATAAGAGGTAATAGTGGATTTAAAAAAAAAAAATATCTTGTAGCAATTTGTAGATGGATTTGTTCAGTTTTATTAGCACTGCATTATTGCAGGTTGTAAATTACACTGCCAACTCTTCCCAACTGCTGTCCCCTTCCAAAATCATGGTATATTAAAGTAAAAGCTGTGTTTGTTTATCGGGGGAATATAAAGCTAGAGGGCTGGATTAGAACATATTGGAACTAAAAGTAAATCAGACAACCCACAAACTAAAGAATGGCAAACCACTGGGGCCTGACTGAATATGATATAGACCTGAAGCTCCAAATGGCTCAGATCCTAGGCAGAATCTTTTCACAGTTGCTGCAATATAGCAGTCTGTTGGACCCAATTTGAAGAGCTAATATAAGTTCTGGTCCCTCAGGAAGACAAATGCTTGAAGGAACGTGCCAGCTATAGGCCAGTTTACTTTTCAAACATAGGTCTTCAAATTCAAGTTAATGGCAGATTCCTGTTCTGTGATCCAAGCCATACTAGTAGATCATGTTTCAAGTGCAAATCCAGGTTACTAACTTGAGCTTCAGGTGCTAAAGTATGCCACTTTAGGGAGTGAATTTTGTTTGTCTGAGTAGAATTTCTGAAGCAAGGAAGTACTGCTGATGTATCACCTACTTGTGAAGAACCATGGCTGTCTGCAGAATAAAGTTTCTTAGACTTTTCTGTATGCTTATTAGGGTTGTTAATTACTGAAGACAAGAAAGATTAAGGGTGTGCATAAGTGTGAAAAGAAACAGGTATGCCTATCATTTAATCAATTTTTTCTACTTTTATATAGCAGCCTGCCTTATCTGCTGTTTATACATAATCATGTCAGTGGAGCATAATGAAGTAACGCAACTAGGGAATGAGGTTAAAATTGTGAAGACAAATGATCATTCACCCTGTTATCCTAAAGAATTTGGATATCTAAGAAAGTTTAAAGTGTACTGTTTCTCATTTTTCATACACAAGAAATGTTTACTAGCTTATCTCATGAACGCACAATAAGAACTTGACAGAAAACTCACACTTTTTCCAGCAGAGTATTTTAGAAAGATATGCTCATTCTAAAAGTTGGAGCGTGCTTTAGTAGTAGATTTGGTTATGGTAATTTTCTGTTCTAACCACAAAAAAAAAGAATATTTTACAAAAAAGAAAAAAAAAAATCACATTATAATTAAGGTACTTCTGTTTCAAAGATCTTATCTATGGGTTATTTTTCTTCTGGATGTGTAATGTCTGCTCTGGAGACATCAGATAAAATGTGAATGAATCAAAGAAAAATCTACATTGTGTAGGAGAGGACCAATGAGTTAGACTTCTTCCATATTAGCAAGTATTGTTCCATTATGCCTGGATAAAGGGCTACTTGTTATCACCAGCAATCTTAGATTCCATTTGATGACCAGTACCTCTTCTCACAAGGCTTTGAATTCAGATATGCTAGAATGGATTGTTACAAATCAGATTGCTTCCTGACAAGAAGAAGATCTTGAGTCAGTTTCCTTGGATCTCTCTCGTAAAATCATGAGAGAGAGCCTGAGGAGAGAAATTAATGTGTGCCAAACAATAGGTATCAGCAATTGTACTTGCAAAGTACACTGATCAAAGTCTTGATTATTTTTTTAATTTCTTTTTCTTTGTAATTATGCTCTTTAAACCTTTGCTAATGCTGCCAATTCAGCATCTTTAATATGATTCTTTCAATTACAGTGTTCTTTGCCTTGGTGATTTGAATAGAATTTGTTTTACTTTTTGTATTCATTATTATTTCCAGTCTGGATAGGTAGTTATGGCTTATTACTTAACATTAAATTTGCTTTGATCAGTCTTTGGAAGCAAGAACATATACAAATATACCATATTGAGAATAATTTACTGTTTCTGTTCTAAAAATTACCTCTTACCATCAGCTTCAGTACCTTTTAAAAAAGCCTAACCTGTAAATAATAAGTTGCATTTGGCTGAAGAATTAAAAACTGGTTTCTCAGACACTGGAAAACCAAAAGTGGTTTTGTTTTAAAATGGTCTTTATGGAATCATTCTTCCACATTTCTGACAGAAAACGTTATAAGATGTTATTAAAGACCATCTCTGAAACAAAAATTAAGAAATAAATTTAAAAAATAGTTTAAAATTTAAATATGTGGTGATCAGTGGTGGATTCAGGAGGGGTATAGTGGTGTACTGGAAACCCTCTTTGATCCCTGTGCCACTCAAAGTTTAAAACCAACTGCTTGGCAGTGGAAGCAGCATTTCTATTTAGGCAGCAGTGAGGGAGTCAACTGACTTCATCGTTCGTTAAAATCTACTTGATCCTTTATAAATTCTTCATTCCACAGGTATTAATGACCCTCACTCTTTTTTAATGGTCTTTATATTCCACTAATCAAGCAAGCTCTTCTGCAATTCTGCTGTCTGCCAACTGCTCCTAGTAATGTAGCTCCTATTTCACAGCTCCACAAACTGATTTTAATTCATTCCACTAGTTACATTTGTTTTTGCATCTATATCAAACTGAATATACCCCTAGGTCTCTACTGTATTAGTAAAGCTTCTAGTTTCTTTTTACTTGGAGAAAAATTTGAGGTGTGTTATATGCAATGATGCACCTGACCATATGCATCCTCCTCATTAAAATCCTAGATCTGCCCATGGTGCTGATAGAAACATATGAACAAAACAAAAAAAAAATCATTGTTGAAAAGTCCCATTTTCAGGGAATATGCTGTTAGAAAGACGTCAAACATTTTTAACACACGATTGAGTTAAAGAAGTAAGACGTTATATTGAATTGATATAGTACTATATTAGGGGATCACAAGGTGGTTCACAAGCATTAATTAAGCATGTCTCAGAAAAGGCTTTGGAAGTACCATGGGTAAATATAGTAACCACTTTACAAAAGTAAATATCATGAGAAAGAGGTTAAATAACTTGCCCAAGCCTTGGAGCCAATTTATTATACAGCTCTGACAGGAAGCTACTGATACAATAATATGAATAATGTGAATATAAATGACAATTTCACTTACCAGTACAATGCAATATAATTGTTGTCAATACCATGAGTCAAATCATTCATTAGTCATTCAGATGAATAACAGTTTATTCACTGAAACGTGTAAAATCAAAAAAATTCACAAATTTAAACCCAAATTATTAATTTGAAAATTTAGAGCAGGCTGTTTATTGAGCTTAATCACTCACTGTAGTTATCTTTAAAGAAGACAGATCATCTAATGTGAGAGGAAAAAAATCAAAACAACAAAAAAAAAAGAGTGATCTACATGCTCAATCTTACAACTAGACAAAAGCATAACAAGTAAGGTAAGAGTTTGCCCATAGTCTTTGTACCCAAATTTGTTCATTGCTATATGCCACATTTTCTTTCATAAAATATGCTCTTTTTACTTTAAACCAGCGGGGGGAAATTAGGGTGTGTACTATATATGAGAAATATGTATCCCCACAGTTCTGGAAATTTGACAGTGGTGGGAGCAACAGTAGCATTACTTGCCAAATTTATAGACCCATGAGAGCCTCCCAATCAGATGACATGGTGGGGTCAGTCCATGGCAAGACCTGGTTCATGGTCTTTGAGAGCATGGGGGCAGACCCAGCGTGCAACCCCAGACCCAGTATGCTGGATGCAGTTGGAGCACAGCAAGTGCTGGACGCAGTGTGCAATGTGAAACTTGGTGCACTAGATCAGGCCGATGTGTGAGGCCAGTCCTTTGTTAGACTTAGATCTGGCACAGCCCCAGACCTGGCACATTGCGTCAGACCTGGTACATCAGATCAGGCCAGCACACAGTGTCAGTCCATGGGCACCATCCAGCTTGGATCTGCCACCAGGATCTGTGTGGGGCTGGCAGCAGGCTCAGAGCTCCCTAGGCACTGCTACTCAATTACTTACGTGAACTACATGATAGAAACTTTTTTTCTTCAAGCTGCAAAAACAGTTAATGTAGTTAATTCTTTAAATGTTGTAAAGTTTGTTTCACTGTGCTGAATATTTAGATCCTGATAATGATGTTATATGGAAACAATGTTGTCATAGTTAAACAATACATTTTTCTTTTATTTTTGTTTAAAAAAAACAATAGAAAGTATATATATTTTAAATCTTAAAATCATCTTTCTAGGATTGAAAAGTCAGTCTCTCATATATTAGGAAATAGATATGAAACTGTCTTTACTTACTAGCTTTTTATAGTATTGTTGCTACATAACCAGGGTTTCATAAATTGAACAGTACTCAGGAAGTGTCCAGCACTCAGGAGTGTGCAGTAATGAATACAGTTGTCCGTGGCACTTTTTGCTAGGGAGGAAAGACGTTGGAAATAGTCTAAGTGAGGGGGCTGCAGAAAGAGAAAACACAGTCTCATGCCAGCCAGGACAGCATGTTTTTATTCTTGCCTCTGTGACATACTTCAGATGTTGATCAAATCACTTAAACCAAATTTTTCTGGTGCTCTAACTGTGAATGTCTTTTTTTTTTTGATTTTTCAAAAAAATTGTTGCTTGCAAAAAGGAAAAGAGCCCTTATATAAATTTGGTATCATGATAAATAAGCCACGGGGAGGCTAATGTTTATTCTAAACACAATTGTGCAAAGAGTGTATCTAAATATTTCACAAACAGTATATTCTTTTAAAATCTATAGAAATAACACATAGTAAAGCCCCCTAATGTGCTAATTAAATATTCACATGTTCCAACTTATTTTTGCACTTGGTTAAATATATTTGGTAGAGAATTCCAAGCAGTTTCTTGAAATACTATATGCTTTTCCAGTACATTTTGAAGCACCAGATGAGAACATTTAGTAATATTATATTTATTGCATTTGGAATTAAGTTCTGCATAACTGCATTCACTACTGTAACAGAGAAAAATGTTGACCTAGTGTGACAATTTAGAGAATCTCTCTGAACTCACAAATCCTGTTTGACATTTTGAACTCTCCATTCATATCAGTGTCAGACTTTACACCCTTTATGAATAGGAGCTTGGTTGCCTTCTCTGCTACCTTTCATCTCCATAATGAGATAAAATCCACAGGAGATGACAAGAGAAATTCTTGCACTTAACGCACAGTTGATAATAGACAACCATTAAATTTTGACAGTCCTCTATTCTTGGCTAAATAGTTGGCTACTGACAGCTCAGACCAATTATTCCCATCTTCAGCGAGGTAACTAACAAATGGATCACATGGTTGGGTTTTTCATTACCAGGAGAAGCTAATTGGAGGGTCACCTGACAAAGGCCGTGTGTAGATGAAACCAGAGGCGTGTGTGCAGGACACTTTAAAGCAGGCTAAATGCTTTTGCACTGCTTTAATGATGTCGGTGTTTTCATGCCTTGGTGGCATATTGTGCATTAACTCCAGCCACTGTAGGAAATTTGGTGGTGTAATGCACCTTAAATGATTTGGGGTGCAGCAAACTAAAACTCCTTTGAGAAGTTTTAGTTTGCTGCCCCTACAGCTGCAGGGTGAAGCACTGGGGTTCATGCAGATCTGTGTCTCTGTAGGAAGCCCTGCAGGCAGCCCAGGAAAGCAGCTCTACCCAAGAAAAGCGGTGAGCCTGATCTCCCCACCCCTGGATCCTGCCCTGCCTGAACTGCACAGGTGCTTCCCTCTGTGGCTGCAGTGCCCCCTGGGACTGCCTGAGCTGGGTGCCTGTGGGCAGGAGCCTGTGGGGTGGGGGGTGCAGCTGCCACAAAGGGAAGCACCAGCCTCCCCGCTACCCTGCTTCCCACAGTTCAGGGACCACTGTGCCCCACTGGCATCTCACCCTCCCCTCCCCACCAGAGAGGCAGATAAGTCAGCAGGGTGTGTGCATGACATGGGGGTTTAATCAGCCCTAAACTGAAGTGGTCTTTTTTAAAACCCACTGCTTCACTTTAGGAGCCCTATTTTGTCTACACATGGCCAAAGGCATCAGGTGGCTACAAATGAAAGGTTCTTCACCTGATGTGAATGAGTGTGCAGAAAGAAAGTGGCCAACCATTCATACTTTGATTCAGGCACCTGACTGCAAGTTTCACTTTCTGGGAGAGGATAATGGAGAATCACTGCTCACAAACAGTACCAGAAACCCCTAAAGAAAGGGACAGTGTGGGAGCCTACTCACATGAGGAGTAGCTTAAGAAAAAAAGGATCTAGGGCTAGGCAACCAACCACTTGAAGTATGTAGCCACTTTATTTGGTTCACAAAACCAGGGGTGTTGGTGGCATTCCAGCAGCTAGGGGTTTCAGCTGAGAACAATGACAGTGAGAACTGGCAGTGGCGGCAGATCCAAGCTGGGTCATTCCAGTGCATTGCTAGAAAATGTTTACCACCACTGATGTAGTGTGTTAGGATCCTTGTAAGTGTCCAGCTGGGCAGCTTTATCAATCCTCTGTGACACTACAGCAGTTATTCAGTGTGCTACACATGTATTGTGCCAGGGAGTGGAGGATGTAAATGAAGATAACAGTTAAGTCAATAGGGAGACATACCTTACCTCAAAATATTGATATAAATAAATAGGCAAAGCTAGTTTACCAACAATTAATCACAGCCGTCATTTAATCTAATGTTGTCGAATGCTTAACTTGGTGATTTTTTTTTTCCTTTTATGATGCTTAAAATATTGTAAAGAATATCATTGTGTGTCCTCAGGCTTATGTAGGGGGGTGCGTTTCATAACATCTTTGCAAATGAAGTGCAGAATACTGTCTGCTAAAAAATAAATCACATAAAATACTTGACCTGGATTTTGCTGTAAATCATTAATAAATATGGTTTCATATAGTCACTGATTAGAAAAGCGTTCTCCATATTATTCTTAACATAGTTCTCAACAGAACAGAAAAGAGTTCTCAACATTTAGTTGCAAGCCCTGAGTTGAGCAACACTAACCAAATAGACTGGTGCTGATCATGTGTTGGTCAAGTGCCTGTTGATCAGTGCTAACACCAGGGATGGAATAGACACATGGGCAGATTTAGGATATCTTAAAGGAGGGCAGGGGGGTGGCACACCACCCCATAAACTTAGGGAGATGGAGATGAGGCATGGCAGGAGCCCCTGGGCCAGCAGGGGACACTAGAGAGATGGACAGAGAGTGGGCACACAGATGAGGGGGACTTGGCTGGTTCTGCTGCTGCCACCACTGTCCCCAGCTAACCTGAGAGCAGAGGGATCCCTGAGCTGCTCCTGCCCCTCTCCAGCCAGGGACTGTGAGGAAAGGCTATGCGGAGTGCTGGGTGTGGCTGAGGACAGTGGCAGCAGGGCACAGGTTTCTCCTTCCAGCACTTGCTCCCTGCCACATGCTTTCCCACCAACACTGTGGCCCTCACTGGCAGGGAGCATGTGCTAAAAGAATGAATCCATGCACTGCTATCACTGTCCTGGGCTGTGTGTGGCTTCCCACACAGCTGCTCCTTGAAGCCCACTGCTGGAAAGGGACAGAAACAGCTCTGGGGCTGCCCCATACCTGCATCAGCTAGGGACAAAGGTGATGAATGTGTTTTTCATTCCAGCACTTGCTTCCAGCCAGTGGGGGACACAGCAGAGGCAGAGGGGGTAGATACTCAGCAGGGAGAATAAAATGGAAGGGACTCCTTCTCTGCATGGGTCAGCCAGAGACAGCAGTGTCACTGTCAAAAGAGGTGTGCAATCACACGGCCACCCACTCAGGATCTACCCTGAATGGACGTGGAAAGGAGAATGCATCATATCAAAAATAGGTTCTCACCTGCAGTGACAACAAGCAAACTTCTAGATGTGAATACTAGGACAAAGATATTTCATAAAGCTTAATGAACAAACTGTATGTGATATGCTGATATATACAGATACCATATTTTATTATGTCCAGTGTTACCTTGTTCAAAGTTTTTCATCTGTGACCATTAGTCATTTTGACTCTGTAGACAAATAAGCCTATTAAAGGGAGCAGGGAGCTTAATGAGATTGCATTTAACAAAACATTGATCACTTTTGTGTGTGGATCAATCTGACCTGAGAGGTTCATTACTCTTAGAGGCCATAGCTTCTCCAGAAACTTAGAACTCCTTTATCTGGGCTGCTGCTTCCTATAACACTCAATGAGCAAATGCTATGAACAGGAGAATATATGTGAGCAGGCAGTTTTATTTTATCAGTGTTGTAGTATTATCTCTAGCCCTGTAGGCATTGTAAAAAATTCTAATGGCTTGTCTTTCCATGGACACTTATGAAAGTTAGTCCAAAATATTTTTCAAGTGTATTACATAAGCCCCACTAAGCCTCTATGTGGGCACCCTCACACAGGTGGCCTTAGTTTGGAATAACTTTCTTTTTCTTTTTTTTTTGGAATTGAATTCACTAATCCACATTATTTAATCCTTTTTAAATTCACCCTTTAGTTAATTTGGGTTACTTCACCTGATTGTCCCTGTGTAGACAAGTCCAAAATCTATTTCAAACCTGAATAAGGATCATTTTGTGACCCATTCTTTAAACCCACACAATCTATGCTGAAGCAGGCTTTAGGCCCTGCTAGGGACACCAAGATGCATTTTAGTTTCCTCTTGAGTCAGAGTAGAATCAGTTAAGGAGACACTATGTTAATGTAAAAGTGTTCTTATTTGGCTGAGAGGTACAGTAGAGACCTTCACCTTTTGGGTCACTAAATATCCCATAGCACTTTTCACAAGATTAGAAGTGTTATTCCCCAGATCTCCTGAGTAATTACCTTCTATCTTCCTAATTCCCCTTGCAATCTCAATTGGAGACAGCATTTTCTGCACAGCAGTATAGGAACGAAAGTGTAGTGCTGCTATGTACTGTTGAATAGCTGCCACTGTGTTTTAGCAGTGGATGAAATGATTCCTATGGGTAGCCTAAATTTTTAAGCACTTTAGAAACTCTTGGGATCAAAGGTGCTATGGAAGTTCAAGCATATTATTATTTATAGAACAAATATGGCTTTCTATTGCATCTGTTATATTCCAGGCATAATAAAATGTTAGGTAGCATAGTTTGCTGTAGTGACTGCAGGTAAATTTGACAGCCATTCTTTGCTCAGCAATGTAACAGCTTAATGTTCTATTATGCACATGCTCTGTTAAGAAAAAAAATGTATTGGCCAAGATCACAGGGCAAAAAACCATTGAAAATATTTTCAAATTTAGGGGATGTTAAGCATTTAAAGCCCAATGTGTATACATACTTAACTCTAGGTATCTAAGTTTGAAAATGCGAATCTTGCTTTTCATTTCTACCAGGACAGCTTCAGAAAAGCTCAATTTAATATCTCATCTAAAAGAAAGCTGAAAAGGAGGCA